CTCTTTTTTTGTGAAATGTTTGAGAATAAGTTTATAGTCATGATGTACCTTTACCACCAAGAACTTCAGTATCTAATTCTTAAAAATAAAAAGATATTTCTCAAAATCAGAAAATTAATATTGAGAAAATACTCTTATTCAATCTATAGGCACTCAAGTTATGTCATTTGCCCCACTCATTTCTTTCTAGGGAAAAATAATGCCTTTTTACTCCCCTGGTTGGGATCCAGTCCCAGAATTCCATACTACATTTAACTCTCCTCTTTTGTCTCCTTTAATTGAGAATAGTCCTTTGATTTTTCCTCCTCATCTTTCAAATTTTGAAAAATACAGAGGTTTTTTTTTTTTGCTTTTGCTTTTGCTTTTGTTTTTGTTTTTAAGAGTGTCCCTCAATTTGGATTTGCTGATGATTCCTTGGGATTAGATTTAAGCTCTTCTGTGCTCATAACAGGAGACACATGATGTTTGCTTTACTGATGGTAATATTAACTGTGATGACTTGTGTAAGGTGGTGGTGATTCACGTTTTTAAAGAGCACAGTTTTTGTGTTTTCTTAAGTTTTTGCTTTTCTTTAGTGGATTAAGTCCTGGAGTCCTTTCTAGGACTCAATTAAAGTATCTATTTAGTTGTAAGCCTGTTTAAAAAAAAATGTTAATGCTACCTTATCTTGGACATTATCGGCTTCATAAGACCTTTATGTGGGAGAAGTGGGCAGGAATAGGCCTTGGAGAGTTTCCAGAGCAGATGGGTCCTGAGCTCGGATATTCATTTACAGAGTAGAAAGCCTCTGGGCCTGAGCTTGACAGAATTGTTGGTGAATTCCACTGGGTGGAATTCTTCCATTACTAATTGTCAGGATAGTTAACATGTCACTTATTTTCTTTAGTTTTCAGAATCACCATTTGTTAACTGGGGGTTATGATACCTGTCTTTAATTACCACAGTGGAAATATGGGGATAAAAAATAAATAGGTCATAAATGTGGAAGTTTTTTTCACACTCCTTCATATATTTATGGCTGAAAAACGTGGAAAAGCTGTTGATTAGAGTTTCTCTATGCACTGATGACCAACACAGAGATCTCTAAGTGCATTTTTTCTAGGAGATCTGTCCTTGACCTGTTCCTATTCAGTGCTTCTATTAATAACTTTCTTAGAAGAAATCATAAGAGAGATTCTCAGTTTTGTAGATGACAAAGTCAGAGTTCATATTCAGACTATTTTGACATATTAGAATAAAGCCAAGTATTGCAAGATGACATTTCCTAATTTAAGTTCCAAAGATCATTTGTAAAATATAGGACTGGAAAGACTGTCCTGTAAGATATTACATTTGGCCACCAACTCAATATGAGCAACAGCTAAAAAATCTATGCTCATCAAAAAAGATTGTACTGTTCTATTCATGGAAGGTGATAGTCATATTATTACAGTGTTGTAAGAATATTTAAAAATCAGAGTGTATCTAGGGAGAGGTAACCAAGATACTGATCTTTTTGTCACAGCAAGATTTCAATCGGATGCCATCTGTTGTTCAATAATGATTAGAAGGGGTTCTTTTGTGTAAAATGCTGAAGTAACTGCAACATCACGTTTCTTTGTCCAGTTTCGTATTTGTACCTGTTGGAACGTTTTATGAATTCTGTGTAGAATGTGCTTTTAAAATAATTTCATAATTGAAGTCTTGCTCAGCAACCAGTAAGTATTATTAATCCAGTGGATGCTCATAAAGATTAGTTGATCATGACAACTTAATGTGATTAAAAGCCAATTTGATGTGCCTTGATTTACATTTAAGGAATACAGATGGACTGAGCTGACTTCAAAATAACAGTTTCAGAGTCTGGGGCTTAGTGAGTTTCTGAATTCATTGTTTACAATTATTACAATTGCTATGAAGATATTAAAATAGACTTCATAATAGAATTGTAAATTGTTAAAAGAATTAATAAAAGCTAGTTGTAGAGTTTTTTTGTTCATTTCTTGTTTTTTTTGCAGGCTGAAAGTATGGAACCAAAGAATTTTTCACGTAATAAGAATACATCTCTCATGTGTCTGCTAGCCACCTGAGCGATTTCCGTTCAGTTTTTATAAATAATAAAGAATATTTCAAGATAATTAGATTAAGGAAAGAACTTATTTCTATTGAACAGTAGCTCTGTTTATTAAAATAGTTTAACTATTTTAATCATACAGTTTGAAAAGTTTTAAATGTATTATTTGTTTAGCGTATTTGGAAATTATCTTTAAGGTATATTATTACCAAGGTCCTCTTGAAACATTCTCTTTTTATTACTTCTGACAGTACTCTTTTAGATTTTCTTCCTACCACTCTAGCTACCTTTCTCTCTCTCTCTAATTTGGAAATACTGTAGTCTCTTGGTCCTGCTTCTGTCTCTTCACTCTCACTGTGGGGAATCTCATATACACTCTCAGAGCTTTGACTTCCTCCTGTGTATCTGTCTGTCTCTCTGGGTCAGTTAGTCCACACCTCTCCTAGCTTGAAACATACATGTATACCAATGTTTACTGACATCTTGCAACTGTACACATTCAAGACCAAACTCGTGATCTTTTCCATCAAACCTATTCCTCCTCCAGTTTCTCCTCTCTCAGAAAATGTACTTTCATTCAGTTCTTACTCCGGTATCTTCCTCCTCTCACGCAGTGCTCTCCACTGGCAACCCCTGCCCCCCCATTCCGATCAGCAAGCACGTTTTACTGGTTCTGAGTCTGCTGTGCCCCTGCTCTCCCCTGCTCTCTGGCACCAGCAGTGCGTGCCTAGACTGCAGTAGCTCCTGCATGGGCTTTGCTTTTCCACTCTTGCCCCTGTCTAGTTTTATCTCTCAACCTCTGCCCTTCTCTGATTTCATCTTTGCATTGCAGAAGCATATCTTTAAAAATGCAGATCAGATCTAATAGCTCCCCTGCTCAATCCCTTCATTGGTTTTCCATGTTAGCATAAACCTTTTAACATAGCCCACAAGCCCCTGCGTGAGCCTGCCTTACGTTTTACCATTTATTCAGTCTTACGCCAGCCGTCCTTCTGAAATTCTTTCAGATCCTTGTACTTGTCTAGATCTCCCTGCTTTGGGATATTTCCTCTGATTGAAAGTATCGCTTCTGTGCCCCTTTAAATTTTTAAAAATTAATTAGTTGTTAATTTATTTCTGTGATACATGAAAGTGGCAGAAAGTTCAAACAGTACAAACGATTTGAGCTCCACCACACTTTAAAAATCATCTGCTGTCTCTTTAGGAACTTGATATACCTTTGGTGTGGTTTTTCAGACATGGTTCTCAAAGACAGAGTCTAGACATGTCAGTTGATGTGTTTGCTATTTGGTAATTGACTTGGTCAGATTGATTTGGTGTTTTCCTCTTTCAAACTTATTTTTAAGTACTCTGAAGTGTAACAATAATAATGATGAATCTGACAATAATAATAATAATAAGTTCTTAGTATTTTACTGTTTTGTAATATTTCAAAGTTTTGGAGTAGTTTAAACTTTTTACTTTCATGTTGCACTTTGTGGAATTGAGGCTTAGAGAGATCAAGTACCTACCATTATAAAGCTGCTGGTGGCTGGGCTGGATCTAGATTTCAGAGTTTTCTGACTCCAAATTCAGTATTCCCCCTACCATGGCATCTTCCATACTACTATTGTAGTGTTGCCTGTATTCCAGGAGTGTATTTGTAATACTGTAAAGAGAAAATATCTCATGTTACTTCACTCTACGAAGGCAAATTTCATATGGTTAACTAATGGCCTCATATTTTCAGACTTTTTTCCCTGTGAATATGTCTTTTTTCCCCCCTTTGAAATAGATATTTTCTTTAAGAGCAGTTTTAGGTTCCCAGCAAAATTCAGCAGATAGTACAGAGAATTCCTATATACTGCCTGCCTCCCCCTAAACTCAGCCTCCGCATCAGTATTCTGCCTCAGAAATGATACATTTGTTATATTCGACAAATCCATTTTGAACACATCATTTTCACCCAAAGTCCGTAGTTTACATTGGGTTTCAATCTTGCTATTGTGCATTCTGTGGGTTTGGACAAATGCATAATGTCATGTATAATGTCATGTATCCACCATTATGGTAGTTTCATTGCCGTAAAAATCCTCTATGCTCTGCCTGCTCACCCCTTGCTTCCCATTTACCCCTGGCAACCACTGATCCTTTTACTTTCTCCATGGTTTTGCTTTTTATAAAATGTCATAGAGTTGGAATCATACATTATGTAGCCTTTTAAGATTGGCTTCTTTCAGTCAGTAATCTGCATTTAATGTTCCTCCCAGTCTTTTCATGACTTGATAGCTCATTTCTTTTCAGTGTGAATAACATTCCACTCTCTGGATGTACTACAGTTTATTTTTGGTTTTACCTACTAAAGGACATCTTAATGGTTTCCAAGTTTTGGCAGTTATGAAAAAAGCTGATGTGAATATCCATATACAGATTTTTATGTGGAAATAAATTTTAAGCTCATTTGGGTAAATACTAAGGGGCATGATTGCTAGATTGTATGTTAAGAGTATGTTTAGTTGTGTAAGAAAATGAAAGTTGTCTCCAAAGTACCATTTTGCATTGCCATCAGCAAGAAGTGAGAATTTCTGTTACGCCACATCCTTCCTAGCATTTGGTGTCAGTATTCTGGATTTTGGTCATTCTAATAGGTGTGTGGTAGCTAATTGTTTTAATTTGTATTTACCTGATACCATGTGATGTGGAGCATCTTTTCATACGCTTATTTACCATCTGCATATCTTCTTTGGTGAGGTGTCTGCTTAGGTCTTTTGTCCATTTAAGAAAAAAATCAGTTTCACTTTTGGTTTTTTGGTTTTTTATCTTTTTTATATTCTCTTTAATAGTTGCTTTTTCTTGGGTACCATCTAGTGAAAATACAGAGAAAGCTTTGAGGTCATTGAGAATGATTTATTTTTTCAAAGGAAAACTCCTCTTTTTCTGTTTTTCTCCTTTTACCTTTGTCTTTCAGTTATACCTGCCGCCACTTGCGGAGATATGTTTATGTGTTGGACAAACTGTATTTCCCCCACTCTCACTGTTCTACGCTTCAACATTGCTTCTCGACCCTCAGTGACAATGGAGAGGAACTCTTGTCTTTAACTTGCTCTCACATTCTCAGATCCTATGCTTCCAGGTTATTAACCTCTGCTGTCCATTTACTGCATGCTGCATGCTCTGTAAGACTGATAATTGCATGTTTTAATGGGACACATGTCAATTAAATGATTAAAGAGGAAATTTAATATATGAAATGATACTAAATGATTCTTTAAAATAATGGCTGGGTTTTGGTTTTTTGTTTGTTTGTTTGTTTTTAACAAATGTCTTCTTACGTACTTTATCATGTTTCGCGGAAGAGAGAAAAACTTCTAGCCACAGAGTTGTCATGTAAACTTGATAGAACTTTTCTATATTTCGCTCCATTTGGAAATCTTTTGGCTTAATTTATAATAGTTGGGAGGGCTCTGTATTGTTTATATATGAAATAGACTCTACAGTTGCTATTAATTACTTGTGAATTTTGAGTTCTCGTTCTTGCTCTGCAAACAGCTGAGAGCTGGCTGTGAGACTTCGCCCAAGTTTCGATAGAGGCACATTCAGATGAGCAGATTTGATTTCCTAAAAATGTAGAAATTATTCGTTGGGATTTTTTACTTCTTACTCTCTTACACACGAGGAGTTATAAAATCAGCAAGTTGCAATGCGTCATGGATGAATCTAGATTAAACATAATGATGGTGGGAGTAGTAAGGAAGAGACAAGCCGTCAATCTCAAGTGTCAGAGAAAATCACCTCCTGTTGTTTAGTGTGTGTGATGCACCAGAATAGAGGGGCAGTGTGACATTACTGCTTTGTACTTGCAGTTGACATTTTTAACACGTTTTCTGTAAGTCAGAGATGACTCACACCAGCACCATACTGCTAGTCAGGTATGATGTTTAAAGGCAGTGTCTTCACTGCCAGTTGATTTAGAGGAAGAAGGAAAAAAACTTCATGACCACTTTCTGGAAAAGAGCAGCCATTTACAATTAAAATAGATCTTTTCAGGTGAAGAAGCATAAAAAACTTCAGACTCTGCAGTTATATCTAAGCAAAAACACTTTGTTTACTAGGAATTAAAGACAGTGTGATATCTAAGGTGACAGAGCCTTTTCCTGATAGCAGAAAAAATTTTAGACTTTCACAGTGATGTTGATCAGATTCTTATTCAGTCAGTTTCGACACTTCTACAAAGTGAAAAAAATCCGGGATAGAAAAGCAAGTGGGATAACAGAGTCAATTCTTATGTATATAATATAGAAGAATTTATCAAACTAAAGCCAGTGATTTTCAACTGACTTATATAAAGTGAGTGAATATCAGGTAAGTGAATTCTCCTTGGAACTGGAGAGAGAACATAGAGCTTTACTAATCACTGAACCTCTTACTTGGGCAGCATAATTGATCTTGTCCTTGTTTACCAAGTTCCTTAAAGTCAACTGATTATAAATGTTCATCGCACTTACAAATACCTTCATAGCAACGCCTAGATGAGCATTTGATCAAACGGCTGGGCCCTGTGGCCTGGCCAAGTTGGCACATAAAGTTACCATCATACTGTGCTGCTTCTGTTTTTTCTTTATGTGTCTTCACATGCATCATATCCATCCTACCAGAATGTAAGCCTCCTTGGGGCTCCCCCTGTATCTTATTCCTTATCACACATCTTACAGCGCCTTGTACCTGGCGCATCGGTCATTAATGCTGGTTGCAACAGGCTTTACCGTTTGCCACTTGTGCCAGCGTGCCACTAGACTCCGGAGTCACACCCCGCACTTCGCAGGAACAGACAGGAGAGAAATACACTGTCAACCGGAAAGATAAAAGGAGATGGAAGGAAAAGGAGCAGGCAGACAAAGTAGGGAGGAACAGAAGTGAAAAGCTGGGAGGGGGGATGAAGGTAGCATGTGGCTAGAGCAGCGTGCGATTCCTGAGCCCCTTCACCTGATTCCCGGCCGACTTAAATCCACACTCAGCTTCCCAGTCGCTGTAGCATTGCTTTCCTATTTTCCATTTCCTCTGTCAGCACCTTTCCTCAAAGGACTGCTTCAGCCCATCCCTGCTCCATCCTGGTCCTTTCTCATCCTCAGGAGGTTGTTCAGTCCTCTCAGCTGAGATTTAAGGCATTAACTCTCCAAAGGGAATGTTTTTTAATACAAAGCCCCCTCTTCAGGACAGAAAGCCTTTAGGATGCATTGGTAAGGAAATGTCAGGCCCTGGTAGGCCCAAGTTCACGGGTAGGGGAGCATTCTGATGCCAATAACAGGTAGGACGTTTTTGAAATGCTGCCCCCTTGCAGCCTGTCCCCTCTCGGACAGTCTCCCATCTTCTCTCATCTCGTAACAGGGCTGTTGCACCAGAGGTGCGTGCTGCCTCTTGGCCTCTGAATTCTGCCAGGCCCTGTCCACGTTTTCTGAAAAGAAAAAAAAGAAATGCGGTGGTTAGGGACATGCGTTCTAGAGCCAAGGTTCCTCCTTCCCTACTGGCTTTACATCCCAGCTAGTCTGGCTGGCTGGTCTGGGACAGTGAACAGGAAAGTCTTCCATTCGGGAAGATTTCAGAACGTGGGTGGGATTTGCATAAAAGGAGCTATCTGGTCACCTTTGGTGTGTTCATCTGCAAGTCATTAACATCCCGAGTACACAATGACACATGGCCAAGTGTGATCTAGTTTCTGTCGTGGAAGGATCTTTCTTTCAGCAGAACTACATGACATGGAAGGACAAACCAAGCCGAATGTCTGAAAGGAGCAGTCACAGACTTACTTCACAACCTCAGATAGCTTTTGGTTATGCAGAATATTTAAAATGTAATTCAGTGCCTAAGGAGAAGTGTACGCTTATTCCTTAAGAAAGAATTTTACCTTGATCTGTCATGAATTATTGCGGTAGGTAGAAATTTCAGTCATTTTACTGTCAACTACTTTCCAGTGTAAGAATTCTTTTTACAGCATCCCTGAGAGAGAGTTTCTGGGTGCTTCCACCACAGAAGGTGGTGGAGTTCTTGCTGTTCCATTGCTAGAAAGATATGCTAAGTCTGCCTGCCGATAACTTTCGTATATTGGTCTGGCTCTGCTCGAGAGAAACACGCAAATGTATAAACGTTGCTGCTCATGAGAGCCCATCAGGTTTTTTTAAACATTTATCATGACACCCCTTGATCTTTTTTCTTTAGCTTAAATAGCCTGGTTATGTTAGCCATTCCTGAAACAGACGCTGTCTCGATTATTCAGCCTTCTTCTCATCTTCCTGGATGGTTATATTTGTCAGCACCCATCACAAACTTTGGTATCCAGAATTGGATACAATAATTCAGTTTTATAATTTTGGCTTTTATAAACCCAAACTATATAAATTATATACTGAATTATAGTTATAAATCACACTCTTGTTAATTTGTCCTAAGACAAACTGCACTGACTTTTTAAAGCGGACACACCTTGGTTCATGTAAAATTCCTAGATCTTTTCACAGGAACACACATCTCCTTAGACTTGTTGCACATTCAATTTTTTGAGCCTAATTGCAGGGCTTTACATTTATTCTTACTTTAGTGTAATGATTTTATCCTGTCTTTCTCTGTGTCATACTTTATGAAGCTATAAGCCTTTCAGACCTGGTAGCTTCTCCTGTTTGTCCTCACAAGCATTGAGATCAACTCTCAAATTACTACCCAAAGGGTTGACATCTGTGGAAATCAAATTTAGAATTTTAAGTGAGCATTTGAGAATTTTAATTCATCACTTACATAACTATATGAGTCAGATGTTTTGACTGCCTGAATCTTTAGGTCTAATTTTAAGTTCTGCTTTCTTAGGTTTCCAGGTGGTGAATAAGTCTTATGACAAATCTGTGAAAAGAAAATACCTATTTTCCTTTATTTTTAAGTGACTGTATATTTAATTTACATAATTTGCTGGTGTGAAAAATATAGCTGCTAATGCTATTTTTTTCCTAATACTGTTTTATTGGGCCTGAGACAAGAGAAACTAAGGGAAAGGTTATTTTTGGGATGATTCTGTTTTAGTGGCATCACTTACTTTGAGCTTTAATTAAACTTAAGGTTTTGGTTTGTTGCTACCTTCTGCTGGAAGGATGAGAAGAAACATCTGTGATGTTTAAAAATTATTTTCCAACACATACTAATTTAAAAACAATCTTTCTCTTGTAATTTTAAGCATGTTAGCCCTGAAGTCCTTGGCTAGTTAATATGTCACCAGAGTCACTGGTTCCTGACATTTCAGGGGATTATAGAGCTCTTGTAGAATGTATAGAAAATTCAGAGTTTACATGCAACTGATTTAGTTAGAAAATTACATAGAGTTGGTGTAAAAAAGGTCCCCTCTGCTTCCCAAAAGTCTGAGCTGGTCCAGCTGCTCTGCCCTGTATAATTTTAAAGACTCAGAATCCTCATTTCTCATGCTCCGCCACCTCCAGTGTCTTGCCCTCATCCCAAAAGTCTGGAAAATGGCTTACCACACACTTCTGCATTCTAACCAGCTGGAGGGTAGAAGGGACTGAGGTGGAAGTACGTTCCCATTTTGATGGCATCATACTTATCACTAAGTTTTAAAGGCCAAAACTCAGTTACAGACTATCCAACAACTTGCTCAAGAGGCCAGAAAGAGTCCTTGGCTGAATGGTCATGTGATCTGCTAAAAACTCTCTTGTCTGGTGAGATGGGAGACGTTGTAGGGACAGCTGACAGTCTCTGCCACTAGGAGTTCCTGTCCTGGGTAATGAGATTAACAGATGTTAAATCAGTGCCTGCTGTGGGATTAGTCCTATGTCAGGCAGCAAAAGGGTTTCATTGGTAAAAACCATTGCCTTATACTGTTAAATATAAAATTAGTAATTTGTGAAAAGAGATCTCTTCTGAGAAGGGGATCTGAAGTGACTTCAAACAAGTCAGATTTGAGCAAGAACTTAATGGTTAAGTGATGTTTGATTAGGAGAGCAGGTACTGAAACTTACAGCACAGGAGTTCACAGGTGGGAAAGCACACGATCTGTTCTGGGGACAGTAAATTTAGGATAGTCTGGCGGAAGCAGATTCATAGATGGGATAAATCAGTATTGCAAATAGTTACATTGCC